AAGCAAGGGCCGTATTCCTACAATTGAAGAACATATGGAACTCAAAACCAATTTCAAGGTGGGATTTTCAATACGGTCGTCAAGACAGTCCCTAACTTGGAATCCTGATGGGAAGTGGAAAAGCGGAAGGTCGAAGAACACACTCTATAGGGGAATGGAAGCAAACATGAAAAGGATGAATAGGAACTAGAAAAGATTTTCCAGGATAGAGCTGGATGGAGTTTCCTGGTGGGCGGCATATGATCCTGAAGAATCGCCAACAGGCGCAAGTAGGTAAGTAATCAATAATGAATTTATCGTTATTCAAGTGGGATGTAGTAGACTGAATATTATGCATTTGTTTTGTTCATTTCTGAGTCTACCAAAGCGTTTACTAGTCTAAGTATTTCTTGACTCATTGGGCACCATGTCGATTGTTTAAAAATTCATTCTTTAGATAAGATATTCAGTGGCAATCATAGTAAAATGAATTTCATAATAAAATTTTATAAATAAATAGGCTTTTTAGTATTAACACTAAAACCAAATAGGCCAGTTGATCATGAAATTATCAGTATGAAGTTCTGGAGTGTGAATCATGAATCATCCAGTGTATGACCACCACTGGAAAACTACAAACACTGGACGTCGCATGGGACACTTCAGGGGTACGCATCTGCGACTACGTACTCAAAAGCCGAACCGAGGATTTTCAGTCTTGAGCTCGGACTCTTAACCTCTAGACCACTGGGCCAGTACCGATTGGTGTTACTGTGTAATTATGAAATATTAATGTAGATATTAGTAAAAAGTCAACTGAATTTGGTTTGAATCAATAATTTAATTATATTGTTTAAATTCGCAAGTTTTGATCAGTCTTATTACTTAATAAAAACATCAAGATTTTCCTATGTATAATTGCTTTTTGATCATCGTGCTATGTGGTCTTAGTAATAGCTACCCGTTATGCCCTAGTACAAACCTTTAATTTTGTATCGCTGTCGTATCTCTCAAATCATTCATATTGTAATTTATATTGTCAGGGTTTCAACTGTTTATTTCAAATTAATTAACCATGGACAAAATAAACGGTGATCATAAAAGTGGTCTTGATGTTAAGCGTTTGCGTAAGACTGGAGGTCCTGGGTTCGAGTCCCGATCGCAGGATCCTGGATGCTCACTGCTGACGATTCCCATACTAGGACGAAACGATCTCTCAACGCTTCCATGTTTTCAATGATGGTCTATCATTGGTCGGTTCATAATATAAATCTAAACTTGACAATCTCCACAACCCTATGCCGATAATAAAATATTTGTAATATTCAAAACTGGATTTTCCAAATTTTGCAGCCTAGTGTAGGATATCGTTCAGTAAAGTAAACTTTTCATACTGAACACATTTTTGTCATAGTAAAAGGAATAAAACGGATCTAATATTCTTTATCTACAAACAGTTTTTACGATGTTAATGTTACCATTCATGTCAATCGTAATTTTACATGACATTTGTCTTTGTATATACATATATAGTTAAGTAAGTATTAGTACCACTGAATCCTTAATTTGTACATGTATTTGAGATATGATTTTTAACTTATATGTAATTGTTCGGAACATCCTCCCTTTCTCTCTCTCTCTTTCTGTATATATATTAGATACGTATGACTGATTGACTATTGCCATACCTTTTACTGATAATGATTTACAATTAATTAACTACAAATGCGTCACTCATATTTTGTAATAAATACATAGATATGTAACTATTTAAAATAAATTTATGTAGTCCGTTATTGACTTGTGTTTAACTTGGACTATTAAGTAAGTTGTGAAAGTAAATAATAAAGGTATCTTTATCCTTTCATCTGATTTCCTGTTGTTCAAACAGTGAGCTTAGGAACATGTGAAGTTAATGTCGCACATCGGTTGCTTGACAAATACAGTAAGGAAGTTTTTGTTTACAAAGTTAACATCTTAAGCAAAGAAAAAATATCAGGCTATGAATACTTTTTACCGGAGTCGGCTTAATCTTTCTAGATATTTATCACCAATTGTCTATTTTCAGAAATTTACTAAAGATATCGGTTATCTTATTTTATGAGTTTGATTATGAAAACTTAGTCAGATCCTAGTAACAATAATAATAATAATAACATAGTGAATACCACAATTCCACGACCTAAAAATGTGATAATTTCCGAGGTCTATTGTTATAATAAACAACACATTAAGTGTTATAACTTGTGACCGCCGATTAATGTGCAGTGACTTATCGATCGGACCAATGACGCATAAAACACGTGCGAGCAGCCTAGAGTTCTGATTGGTCCTGTTTCCACCTAACCCTGCCAGATAAGTTCAGAACATCAGTCTCAGCCTCTGCAATATGAATCATTATATTTCAAACATACTGAGTTTATATACCAATCAAACAAACCACAACGTTCCAATAAAATATGAACATTTGTACAAGAATTAGCCAGATATGGCTATGAATGAGCGAGGCATTGACTAATAGACATGGAATAATTCAAGAATGGAAAATCGTATAATAACAGTTCATAGGTTAAGATAAAGCTTATGATAAGAGAGACATGAATATGAATAGTTTAGTTACATAACAATTATACAATAAAAATATACGCATAGTATTGGTCCACCAATAGATCCCAAACGTTACCATTCATTATTCTTGTCGGAACATAACATTAAGGTATACACGAAAACATTATGGTTGATTTCATTAATGTTTTCAAATAAAAATCTTTCATTTCATTTCAATCAAGTTCTATATTTTAACAATAAGCGTAATTTAATCAGATAACATTATCAGATCATACAACAAGGTTTGGGGAGACTTTCACGCATTGAGGATATGAGTTAAAATTAATTTCCACATTCTAATGCTGATGAAATCAGTAAGTTGAAATCCTATGCAAAAAATTAACACAAAACAGTAAATGTTCTGTTATAATTATTGTAATGATAATATTAATAGTAACAATAGTGAATAATACCAATATTAAGTAAAGTAAGAAAGATCAATGTACAGTTGACCAAAATTATGTACCATTGAAAAGATTCAGTACAGTTTTCCATGAAGAGATATAGGAGTAAAGTTTATAATGTGTACTGGTAAAAGCAGAACCGAATGAATTTATTGTAGACCAAGCTAAATAAAATGTTGAAATGTATCTATTTTGTACAGATAAGTCTTATATGTTCTAACTGATTACCTAATCTAGCTTCATTTTGACAAATTACTTGGATTTTTTTATGTAACTGGAAAGGAATGAACAGAATTTCACCAACTTATAATATACGTCATTATACTCCATCGAATCTTAGTACATTTGTAGTGGCTTAACTTCGTTAATCAATCACCATGATAATCATTATTATATAGATCACAACAGTGTTTGAAATCAGAGAGTAATAATAAGTGGAAATTACAGTTTATTAGTGGATAGCACAGATCACAAAGTTACAAGCATATCGAGGTGAATGTGTGTATGTTCGAGCAAATACAGAGACAAATTTATAGTCAAATTTAATCAAGGCACAGCAAGGCAAGGTGAAGGTTATTAATAGGATTCGAGCACATATATACATCGGAAATAGAATGATTCATCAATTAATGTTTAAGCTATCAACATTTAAACTAGAGATATGTGCATAGGCTGTCATGTGATCAAGCGTACCCGTTTATACAGACACGGTAGTGATCATAATAATATAAAGAAATGGATGAATCGTTACTGTTCGAATGACATTGTTTGTTAAATAAGTTAAATAGTAGGTCTTGACAAAAATTAACCGCAATCGAGATTAATCATAGGTGTGCTGCTATACTTTCACTGATATTATCATCATGTATCATGGCGGTATCTGTTGTTTAAAATTTTAATTGTATATATATTAACTTTGATATATGTGTTAGTCACTAGATAATGTTCATTAATAATCTCATCGTTAAATTATGGACAAAAATAAAGTCATACTACATAGAGAGTTGTTACTAAAATATGAAATTGTAATGATTTTAAAAGTTGAACTCACGAGTCAGTATAATCTGGACCACCATTGAAAATCTGGAAGCACCGGACGGTTGTTTCATCCTTCTCATCAGTGCACATCTACGATCCCTCTTGTGGGACGCGAAGCCAAGACCTTTGATCTCGAGCACGAACACTTAACCTTTAGATCACTGAGGCCAGAATCCAACGGTGTTAATGTCTTACTTCAGTCGATCCAACTTTACTGGCCCTGTATCTGACTTCATTTCGATCGTATGAATGATTGTTATTGAAATATACATATTGTCAACCCTCGTATGAAATTATCGACTTGAATTGCGTTATTGAATAACGGAGTTAAATAAGTTAAATACGAAAATGGATTTTTGAATACATATATTTTGTACGCTCGTTGATCTAGACTGACAATCAAAGAGACAAAGAAAAGGAAGAGGGGTAAAGAGAGCGAAGTGCAATGAAGGCGTGTGAGCCAACTCAATTCAACCAAGCGTTAATTGATATTTATATTCAGATCAAATATAAACTACAGACATATGATGAGTAGGATATGTATTGCACACATATGCGCTTATATAAAAAACAGTCAAGGTTGATAATCGAATAATTGACAATGTCAAAAGGTAGCTTGTGAAGAATGGTTAAGTTGGTTTGCGCAGAAGCTAGAATAAGTTATGTGGGCTTAACATAGCAACCGAAACTACACAACCAATCATCGATTGTCTGAGATAGATATCCATCTCTACTCAATACGGATTGGAGTCCATTGATCACGGCTTTTCACTAGAACTCCAGTACTTCCAGGTTTTGTATGGTGGTTTAGCTTACATCGACTCATGAATTCACCATATAGAGTTATCAACAAATTGTATACCTTTATTTACTTAGAATATAATTTAATGTAAATAACAATTTTTGTTCATAGGCATAATCAGTAATATCCTATTCTTTTTTTAAAAAAAAGTTTTTTCCCCATCTATTTAGAATGCCAGTAGAATATCGTCAGAATAAAAATTATACTTCAACTCATCTTAGTTATCATGAATTACCTCATTCAATAGGACGTCATCATATGTCACAAAATTATAATCAACAAAATGCATCAGATCGTCTTTATCAAATAGCTATACAAGCTGCAGTGGCCAAAGCAGAATCATCTAAATCCACAAATGATGAAATTCGTAAATTTTATCATGATGATAATAAATATAAATTAAATAAAACGAAACTAAATAATACTGTACATAATCATACTATTAATAATACAATTACTGCAATCAGTACTACAAATACAATAATAACAACTACTAATACTGCTACTACAACCACTACTACTCCTTCGACAAATTTATCATCAAAAGTTAAAACAGCACATTTAACACCGCAACAATGGCAATTATTAAATGATTATCATGAACATGATTTATTTGTACGTACAAGAAGTTGGAGTTTTTGTATGGCAGTTTTAGGTGTTGGTGTAACATTATTTGGTATTGGTAGTCCAGCATGGAAATGGATTGGAGATTGTAAGTTTTCACTATGATTATGACTGATTTTTTGCTTTTTATCAATTTACGTAGTTATTTGTATTAACTCTAAGTATAAGATAGATAAAGTTGTTAAGTTTCATTCAAATAACGAGCCGGCCACATTTAGACTACTACTGATGATCTGGATGCACTATATGGCCGTTTCTTCTCGATATAGAACCCTTCGGCAATATGTTTTCACAATCAAACACGGAGCACTTGAACCTAATAATTTTGTTCTAGAGCGCGAATGGTCAACCTCTAGACCATGGAGTCGATACCAGACGGTGATAATGTATAATTATAATCAATCCACTAAATTACACCACATTCTTCCATTATCTTCGCCTTACATCCGACCTGGTTGAACTCCACTGAACTTGGCTTCTAACTAGAACTACGGAAATTTCTTTTCGATGCAAGTCATGAGTGAGTACATGATAATTTTCTGTGTGGGGTTGTGGATATTGTTCGTTTTCGTTAAAATCATTAATTTAACTTTGTCAACTAACAAGTTATGCATTCATATGTTTGGACCTCGTTTACTTACGTTCCGTGTAGTTTTATGAGTAATTAAGAAAATAAATCATCTCTAAAGCACCTACAATTGTTACTCTTTTTAAGTACATCAATTAATTAGATCACGTTATTCGATCTCTAGTTCTTATCGAATTCAATAGCTTAATTCCCATTATACCTTCCAATATGAGAAAGTTGTCATGTTTGTACTTTCTAATTTAGGTTAAGTACTTGACGTAAACTGATATGAAACCTTGGAAAAACTTATCAGTTTTGTCAAAATTATCGATCAAACTATTTTTAATTGTGCAAATACTTCAAATAACCTTCCTTTTTAAAATGGATTTATTTGATGTATTTTTGTGTTAGCATTAAGTGTTTACAAATTATTCAAATGCTAACTACTGAAAACTTAAACCAGCACATTGCCAGTTTTTTTATACATTTCCCTCTCTATCCTATGAGAAAGCAATATAGGATTAAACTAGAATTCATGCTTTTGATTCTTCATGCTAAGATAAATACACTTGGTATTGTTTGCTTGTATCTTCACATTGTTGTTTAAGGCTGCGAATGATCAGTCTCTTGTTGGCATATATGCATCCTGTGAGAACTGATTTGATATTGAATTAAGTCACAAATTTTATAAGCAAAGATGGATAGTAGCTAGCAGTGGAATACAAGACGCGCGTTTCGACCTATCTGAGACTCCTTGTAACAGTTTTAATGATTGAAAATCATTGTATTTTAAGCGGCAAATCGTTACAATATTACATAATCGTAGCTGAAAATTCTTCAATATAATAATATTTTTAGTATTGCAATATAGATTTGATGATTATTATAATTATGAAAATTTGTTAAATGCTAGTTATCACCACTCCCCAAGAAATGCCTACAGTTGTGAAGAGACGAATACTCTTATCATCATTAAAAGTACCACAAACCTTTGTCATGGTTACATAAAACAGAATATGACCAGATGAAACTTCATATTTTCTAAGTAAAAACCGATAACTCAGTCATGTCTATTAAGAGTTGTCATGATTTACAAATTTTAAAGTGTATGTAAGAGGGTAATTATACTATGAAATACATAATTGTTAAGAAATATTGTATGATTTTTATTACATGTTTGTTTAATCATTTAAAGCTCGGAATCCTTATGAACTTGGTTTATGGACCTTGTGTCTACCGAACAATTCCACTTGTCTTTCAATAATTTACCACTTACAGAATAACTGGAGTAAGTTTACTAATAAAATAAATGGTTATATAACTATATTTTGTATTTCCTCTCTACCATTTGTTTCTCTGAAACGCAAGTATGATATAGTTGACAGATTGAAGTATATGCTTGGAATGAAAACAAGATCATTTACTCATGGAATTAAGATTGTTTATTTCAATGAATGTTAACAATATATTCATTGTATAAGTCCGTAATTCATAACTAGACAAACGATTTTATGTGTTCTTAACTAGCAACATGTTATTAATTGTATAGTGGTAAATATTTCTTGCTACATTCATTTTATTCATTTATTTTAACACATAGACATTGGTACAAGGGGGCACCAGATACATATGCGCCACATGAATCTCATTCGACATGTATGAGGGCTGTGATACTGCCCGGGTTCCCAAACCGAAGTAGTTGGTTTTCTTAGGGGGCCACATCCCGGGCCTTCGACCTGAAAGTCTGATCTACAAGGCAGTGGAGCATCGTGAGGAGATGCAGTCCCGTGGTAGCCGGTGACCAACAATTGGTTCATACGCCATTTGTTCCCTCAGGATACCGGAGCCCATATACACTATTGGTTTGGAATCTGGTCAAAGTACCGGACATTCACTTTTCGACCTCTCATTTTCGTAAACATGAGAAAGCAATGAGTAGGACTTCCCTGGCAAAGGCTATATACGCGTGGCCATGTGAGAGCATTTTGAGAGGAAGAGCGGACTCTCCCCACTCTCGGCCGTACCAGGGCATTTGGGGACTGATACATTCAAATATATATCAAATCTACTCAAGTAACTAGTTATTATAAAAATCAATTAATCTAGGTTTAAAGCTTTAAGATGTGAACTTTTTTGGAAAAAATTTGTCAATAAAACCTGATGATTGTTGACAAGCTTATGAATTAAATATTATAAAAAATCTAACAATTTCTCAGAACAAAAATTCGTCTTAAGTTCATTTAATAATACATATAATATATAAATGTAAAACAAGATAAACTAGGACTAGGACTTGTTGTTGTAACTGGAAAGAACTGAAAATGATTGTCGAGGATAGGGTTGGATGGACAGTACATGTGTGCGGCCTATGCTCCTCCAGAAGAGGTAACAGACGTAAATAGGGAACGTTTTGTTCTGACATATAAATCAAAAGTTATTAAATATCCAAATAATTTACCAATTTGGTTATCAATCAGCTATTTGTCAATTATAATACCAACACAACTGCAATAATCACTGCGTTATTACTAACGTTGAGCTGGCTAAATGATGATGGATGCATTCACCGAACAATTTACATTTACCTGATACAACTACAAACTGACCGTTGTAATATAATTCAATAGAACTGAGTCTTTAGATTACAAGTTAAATCCTTTTATACGCTTCATATGGAGATGTCAGTTCAATAGTTTGATCATGGTGATAAGAAATCTTGTTCTCTGATGAGACAAAATGTCATTCAACCTACGAAAATCAAATTAACGTACTGCATAGCAGTCATTATTCTTTTGTTTTATTCTGGATCATGTAATTTATCACAAGATTTGTATAAGCGAATTTTAATCGATAACCACTTAATATCTAAATATGATTCAAGAATTCGAAACCGAAATATTCCAATAACATTAGTCTTTCCAGTGTACATCACTCAGTCAACCATTGAATTTGTGTGTTAATGAAACCTTCTGCACAGATATCAAAACATTTTAATCATGGTCACTATGGTAAATCGAATGCATAATGCATATATATAGCAAATATTTTTAAGAAAACTAATCAACAGACACTCAATTAGTAAGCGATCACTAAATTGATAATGTCAAATAATTATTAAATGAATTATTTGCAATTAACAACGAGTTCGCATCACATCACTGAACTGAAGGTTTTTGAACAATATTCGATTTAATAGTTGAATTCATAATTCAGTTTAACTTAGACCTTAATGAAAGACGTAGAAGCACTGGACGGCCGCTTCGTCTCAGTATGGGACTCGTCAGCAGTGCCCATCCACGAAACATTATTCATAAATATAATTAGTGAAAAATAACAAACAACAGTAGATATTTACTTACTTACTTACGCATAGGCCGCTCACCAGCATTCTACATCCAACCCTGTCCTGGGCAATCATTTCCAGCGCCTTCCAGTTGTTATTCGTCTTTTTCATATCTGCTTCTATTTCCCGACGTAATGTGTTCTTTGGCCTCAATCTTTTTGGCTTCCCTTCAGAATTTTAAGTTAGGGCTTGCCTCGTGATGCAGTCTTGTGATTTGAGTAATGTATGTCCTATCTATTTCCATCGTCTTTTCCTAATTTCTTCTTCTGTATAAAAAATACTTGATTGATTATGTATATGACAGATGATAGAAAGAAAATCACTAATGTAATGTTGACTGTAATTCTCAATTTAATAATGAAATACAAGTAGATACGCTATAACAATGAGTGTTTAGATCTCAATAACTGGTGTTGGTAGCTTTTTATTAGTTTGTTGTGAAATATATAACACAGCCTTTAGGTGACCTTTATCTCAAAAGCTACACTAATCATCAAATTTATCAACAAAAGTTTGGTAATTATGACAAATTATTTCCATCGTTATATTCTTCTTTTTACCCCTTGATTATTGCGTAACCTCATCTGATAATAGGAGTTTCGAATCAACTTATGATGCAATCATTTTTACTCTTCTATGGACATATATTTTCCATATAACTATGACTATGAATGTGATGATTTCATTGAAGAGGAAATATTCTTTTCTGAATTCGATTTTTATTTATTTTTGATGTCTCTTTACAGAACTTCATATATCAATTATATGTCTACTGGGTTGTGCCTGTTTATTTGGAATATTGGGTTTGGGTTTAGCTATTACAGGTGTGTGCAAAAGTGCCTTGATTCTTAGACTTTATTATTATCATTCAGCTGGTGAATGCTTTTTGGTTTCAAGTGAGTTTTTTTAATTATTCTATTTTCATGTTAATGAATGAATTAAGTAATCGATCAACAATATGATTGCTCATATAGATTCTGATAGTAGAGAGGGAATTATTGATCAAAGATAAAATATCCACTAACTTTTAATAGTTTCCCATTTGATTCCAATCAAATAAGAAGAATTAGTCCTTTTGGTAAACTTGGATGGTTGAATAAGAAGATAAAGATTATCAGAACTATGTGATATATTAGCGTAGTACATTTGGAACAATTTCATCATACATACACTCGTTAAGAACGTTTGTATATAAAAATAAAAGGTCAACTAGACAAATGGAAGCCAAGAGAAGATAAAGATAACAGAGAAAATAATGTCCATCATTCTTTATTGTCAAACATATAGTTCAAACAGATCATAAAATTGATATTGACTCGGCTTTTGTGATGTGATTCAAAAGTATTAAAGGCCGTATACTAAAGTTAATTAAAGCCTTAGTCATATGAAAATTCCTACCCTCATTATGTATTCAAAAGCAGTTTATTTTCACTTTAAACCTACCCTGGTAATTTTATCCAGCGTGATGAGTTTTCATATTATTTTCTTTACTATCTTTGTTTTCCTATACCCTCCATTTATCTAGCTTATCTTTATTTCTTTCATAGATAAATATTCTTGACAAGTATATATGTGATCAGATTGTTCTAAATGTATTACGCTATTATATATCACGTAGTTGTAATCATCTTCGTCCTATTACAATATCCAAGTTTGAGAATTCGTTTACCATAAATGACTTAATGAGTATATTGTTAGCTGAACAGCTATACATTAATTACTTCATTGTTAATTGTGTCTGAACATGTTTTTCATAGGCATACTTGAATAGGTATTTGTTACTTTCATGGAGTGTGTACATAAAAAAATAATTAGATAAATGCCTGAGCATTTCTACTGTGTAATAAATGTAATTTCTCTTTTGTTTGTTTAGTCGAAATGATATAATTGAATGAACTGTGAATTCCAATATTAACTGCCCCTGACAAGCAAACTCATTCAAATTCATTTTTTGTAAAGCTATAATTTTTGGGAAAGTTAGTCACTTTTCAATAGGGATATTGATCATTAGTCACTTATTGTAGAGCATCATTTGGGTTTCCTAGACGTTTACTAACCATGATGTATGTATGTAACAAGCATTATTTATAATCTTTATATCAATTTATAATAGGCTGACAAAGCACTAAGCTCAATCTGACTGCTAAATTGGATGATTAAGGTTTAAAAACATAGGACGAAACTGCCGTCCAGTGTTTCCAGGTTTTCCATGGTGGTTTAACTTCAATTGACTCATGATTTCTACCTGTGAAATTTCCTAAAATCTCCACAAAACTCATTCTGATAATAGTATGTTTATGCCCAAACTGATTTAAGTAAATGATCTTCGAAATAGCTACGTAGAAGAGTTATCTGCTCTCATAATGTATGTTAACTTATGAACATTCATATATCAAGAAATTCTTACTTTGAGAATATTGGAAATATTGAACAAATAGATGAACTTTTAACAGTTTAAAATACAGTCAGTCAGCTACAACGGATGACCAGGCACATATATGCATCGGTCTTAGTTGCCACTCTTCATTAGCACAACAAGATGGACACCTGATTTATAGAAGTAATTACTTCACTGGTAGTAATATATAAAAGAAAGGTTGTTTATAATGACATAGCACAGGAAGAAAAAATTAGTTCTTAGAAAGGAAGATATAATGTAATTTTAACCTTACAGTTTAAGGGAAGACAAAGTGTGTATACACCTACTCCATTGTGAACGATTCTAAGTCATGTCACACAGAGTCTCCAACCATTGCTTAAAAAAAAATACAAACCCAAGGTCTCTTCTAAATTGATATTTAAATAACATATAGATGATTAAGTAATTTATTCTGAACATTTGTTTGTTTGAAGAGAATAAATCAGTTTAAAAATAAAGTGTCTGCAATCACATAAATAATTATATCATTTCACAGGTTGAAATCATAAGTCAGTTGAAACTAGACCACTATTCTGATAATTATATCATTAATACCAGTAATGATTTTGTGGATATTATAGTAATTTCAAGAGTTGAGATCTCGAGTCCGTTGAATCTAAACCACTATGGAAAACGTGGAAGCACTTCTATAATTGTCTACCTTATTCTTGAAGAAATCACTTGTCTACATTGATCATTTCTACATATTTATTAATGAACTGATTACATGACATAAAATGACATGAATTCAGTTTAGTTTTAATTAATGAATACAAACTTCCTGTCATATGGAAATTCGGTAAATATTTTACATCGAAATTATTTTGCTTAGATGATTCATTCTCTTGTATAAATATGTTAAATGTTAAGTTTACTGTTAACAATGACAAATTAGTTGTCATTGTTATCAGAAAATAAATAAAGTTGAAATACTAATCCAATATCAAATGACATGTCACTAAATTATACTAAGCAAACAATTGAAGCTACATATTTTGTCAACATAGATTTTAGAATAGAAGAAATTAATAGAAAAACAAATTGTTTCATTTAAATCGGATATTTATATTTCGTATATGATTGATTAATGGATGATAAAACTAAAAATTACCATTATTCAACTTGTGAGTATTCATTTCACTTAAAATCTCCGCCGGGAGTCCCTCTAGGGATACTGTCGGTCCCAAGTCCGGATAAAGGAGGAGGGTTGTGTATGGAGTTAGCCACCCCATCCTGTAGAAAACTAACTCGCGAAAAAACGCTGACCAGAAAAAGTAATTCAAACCATTTAAACCCTGTCCTGGGAATCAAAAGGTCTTCATGTTGAAAGCCAAGTTCCTTCGAAAGTCGGGGGGCGAATGCCTCTTCTGACAACTAGATCAACCATTAACTTAGGTACATGGAATACTTGTACAATGGAGGACACCGGGATACTCATCCAAATTGCTTAAAATGATATAATAGTTAATTTCAGTTGAATTATATGAGATATTAATAATTTTGTATGGTTATTATCAATATGGATCAAAATGTAATTGCTAACCAGATTAGAATACATGTCGTGAATCCATTTGAAGATAATTTCCCAACAATCTTTATTCTTAGATCATTTTTGTATTGGTTGTTTGAATCTTCCCAATGATCTTTAGGATTATAGTTTATCCATCTCTTATCGGTATATGTACATCCTGTACGAATTGCCCTGATATTACCTGAATTCACAAATATTACAAACAAGGATGGATGGTGATTAGCAGTGAAATTCGGGACGAGTGTTTTGTCTCATGTGGAACTCATTATATGGATGCATCTGCATCCCAGACTAGATGTTCACTCCGTAACTTGAACCCAGTACCGTTCGCTTCAAACGTCATCACTTTATCCACTTTGCTATTGAGTCTTTATTCTTTGTTAAAATTATTTACAGATTTTTGAAGTTCCTAGGTAGGATGTTAATACACCATTACTACCACGTCATCCGGAAACCCAAGAAATATTCATTTATACTTTATTCATCACTTAATTAGTATTCTTGAAAATCCATTATATTTTTAACCCCTTAATCTTAGGTATTGCCACAATAACTGCTTTAATACTCTATCCAATATCAGCTGAAACATGTATACAAAATTTATTAAACCTTAATATATTCAAAATCAAATCATCTGATCACACCTCCACGATCAGCATATCTAATAACAATAACAACAAAAATCCTGCTTCTGAAGAAGATGTATCATTGACCAGTATTGAGACACAATTTGGATATACATATTTTTTGACATGGATTGCAGCGCTATTTTTTGTCAACTCATTCATATGCATGAATTTAGATTTATTGATACAATCGTTCGTTCGACCAATACCACTAATCAGCAATACGATAAATAATTTAATGCCATGCTGTGGTTTATCTACCTCGTCGTTATCAGAATCACCAGTATCGTCTAAATCGTCACACTCATCTTGTCATTTTAATGAATCTATTTATAAAAAGCAAAGACATGAATGTACTGAACAGAACATAGAACATATGGTAATATCAAATAATAATCAAAATACTGAAACGAATCCTAGTGTCAATCTACATTCTAAGCGCAAACTGATAAAATATCAACGAGAATTTGTATCATTCGACGATAGTATTACAGAGAATAGTCAATATCAACCTTGTCAAGTACCAAACATTCTTTTGAGTGATTATGATAAAGAATGTGAATTGATAAATTCACGAAATAAAGAATTGTGCAAGGAAAACTCTATTAATATTACTGATGAAATCGTAGTGAATCCTGATGAGATTTTACAAGATTCAGGTCAAGATGGTGAATGGATCTAAATACAAGATAAAATATACGGATCCAAGTGCCTTGAACTGAATAAAATAGAATCCATGCCGTTCACCCTGTAATTTATATCACAGAATGCTTTTATCTATTATTCTGAAGTATTGATTTGTCATCTCTTATTCAGTGATTGAAGTTTTTCCAACAGTACCTTATAAGTAAAATACACTTATTATTTAAATGAGATTAGAATTAGTAATGTATCCTGTGTTTAAATCAGGTAACAATTTGCATTACTTTTATGTGTGAACATTATTTTAGATGACCAAATAACAATGGAAAATAATATACACATATATAAACTTATTGATCAAGATTAATGGTAACCATGTTGAATATTTTCACATCTCCTCCTCTGGAAAAAGATCTATACTAATATATACACATATTCAAACACATTATTTTGTATATCAAAATGATATTTTTTTAATATATAAATTATGTCACTTCCGACTGTGGTTTTCAATACATTTAGAAGATTATGAGCTTCATATACGAATAACTGCATTAGGTAGTTGACTGTAAATCCTGTTTCACATTGATCAGAATGTTATGCAATAAATTCCAACCGAAGCCCAACAGATTCACAGCCTGAGAATTTACCATTGAGCTATTCGAGTGGCAAGTGATCTGTACGACTGAGGTATTTATAAACTATTGACCACCTAGTAGAAACGACTATCATATTTATTTAGTCATTTGGCGCTGATCGATCTAGCAATTGAATGTCGCAGGATCAAGTACACTGAAAAACACTTGTCCTCCAAAGATCACAGGTACACTTTACTGAAAAATGTCGAACAAGACAAAATATAGGTTTAGGGTCTCTTGGAGACTAATTCCAAGCACCTGGCATCTCAACATAGTTCACGTAATATCAAGTCACTTAGATTGATGGCCACACTACAATTTGATCTATAATATTTGATCAGCACTAAAAATGCTAGATGAAGTTGATATCGGTCACTACTTAGTAACGGGTTAATCACTATTAACTGTTTTGTGTATATATAGTCAAAGTTAACATCGTTTAGTAGCCTCTTGGAGTATTTATTGATTTAACAAACAATTTAGTTAAACTTTCTCGTTTCCTACTCAAATTAAAAATAAGTGTACAGTTGTAATGGTTGTTGGCTTCCGACTGAGATCATGAACCGACCAATGTTAGACCACTACTGAAAACATAAAGGCACTGAACAGCCACTTCGTCCTAGTATGAAACTCCTCATCAGTGAACATTCACGATCCCGCATTCGAGATTCGAACCCAGGACATACAGTCCTCCGCGCGAATGCCTACTTTGAAACCACTAAGGCGGGATCTCACAGTGTTAATGTCTAATTTTCAGTAAGCCACGAGTCCTGCGTGCGAGACGGCCATTCACTGCTTCTAGGTGCTCAATAGTGGTCTAACATTGGTCGATTCATGATCTCAATTGGATTAAAAACTTAATGTAACACGTCAAATATTGAGGTATTTCAAGAATGGACGATGGTATGTACAGGTTAACCTTTCATCCCAACAATATTCTGTTGTTCGACAGAGATTTTCACTGAAATTTGAATATATCTACTGTTAAAGTCGACTATGACATTTTAAAAACAGTTATGTATTAAATTTACACATGTGATAGTTTCTAAGGTCATTTCATCACCAAAGAAAGTGCATTCAGAAACCATTATTTTAAACATAAGTCCACTTAACATTATATTGTATTTAGTATTAGCTGAATCTGAAATAATGTCAAGTTGCTTTCCGTACTATTTCAAAATGAGAATTTCCCTCATAAATTTGTATTTTCTGCAAAACTAAAATGTAATTTTTATATCACATTTTATACTTAATGTTATATTGGTTTGATCAATAGCTCTGTAAGACTTCGATATTTGATGCTGAACGCATTAGTTTTAATGGAATCACCTAGCTGAAGAAGCTTGCTCACGCATCCGCACCAGATCACGAATGAGTATGCTGTGTTTCACATTTCCTACAACCTCTTGCCAGCTAAGAATGAACACCTCGAAATAATGATAACCTATCAAATATATATATCTTCGAACCTCTTCGCTTCTGATTTCACTAGGTTGGTATATTTCGATTTGTTGTAACGTGTGAGACTGCAGGTTATGGAGCAGCGTATTTATCGATCGATTCCGTGACACGTAAACACGTACGAACGACCTAGTGTCCTGATTGGCCCTGCTTCCCTGTCTATCCCAGCCAGTTGAGTCCAGAACGAAGGTCACAGCCTCTGAGATATGAATCATTATATTTCAAACACACTCTGTTTATATACTAACCAAGCAGACCACATCGTACCATAAAAATAGAAAACAACATTTACACAATATTAAACAAGTAAAGCAAATATCGACCAATAGGGAATGTACATTTAGCGTCCAAGGGCAACATTAGACTTAACATGATAACTATTGGTATATTTTTTTGCACATCCTAACACGATTATGAAAGTCGTTACTGGTTAATGTGTTGTCAAACATCGAACACTTATGACATCTTTAATTTGAATGTTTAATATGTTTACATACCAAACAAAGTTTGCTATTATAAGCGTAAATGTTGTCGGCTAACAGTGGATTTCATTACTCGCATTTTGTTCTACTTTCATTCTGTTTGTGACTTCAAACAATCCATATCAGATTTATATATATATCTCAATAGGATACTAATCAATTCAACTTATAAACATCAATAGGAAGATTCAAATAACCAATACAATTTGCCATTGTTAGTAATATCCATCATATTTGCATATAAATTAGAAAAAAAAAATTCTTATTTTTCAAAAATATTAATGATAATCTGTAAAGATAAAAAGAATAAGAATTTAAATCTGTATAGATACAAAGAATATTTTTTTAAACTACCACTACTACTATTACTGAATTGATCATCACTTTTTTATTAATGGATGAAATGTATTTACACATTAGGAATAGTGTATATGTGTGATTAAAAATGAGAATGAAAAATTATTAAACATAATTTGATTTTTGATAATCAGATATTTATGATGAAAGTCATTGGATCTGATTGCTTAGTATACTCATGTAATATTGATTTATGGAAGAATAAGGAAGTCTTCATCTAATCATGATAGGAAATAATATAAACTTTAAGTTTGTTATTCATCCTGTACAAGATTCTGATAATGTTCGTTAGAACTACTGCTCAATTAGATCAGCATTACGCTTCACTCTAATATACATAAATGTTAACTTTATAGTAGGAAAGGATGAAGATATACAATAGATCATTAGATATGATTGGATTTTATCTATCATATGACAATCGTCAACCCGGTGCACCAAGATATAGTTGCTTATTGTTCCTTTCTGGCTCTTTCAAAATTAAGCTGAAAGATGTTTACTCCTTCACTTTTTAAGTTACCTGGTAGTACTCCAAATATAGCTATCTCTGTAGGAACAACTGAATTACCAAATGTGCACATGTTGATGTTATATGTTTAGCTACATCAAAAGCAGTTGATGATGTTCATATTTACGATTAGTATTTTGCTTACAAAATCTGTAATCCATTTATGTTATTAAAAACTATTTATAAAATAAAATAGATTAAAGGAGAGTATACATTTATAATTCGTTGTTGTGTAATTCATAATACTTAATACTCATTACTATAATATTGTATTAAATGGTTTGTAGGAAAAAAACCCATTACTTCAACCAAGAAATCTTCTGTTCAACAACACGAAAATGTCCTCTTATAACCTTTAACATAGAACGAATGTGTTCGTCATCAAGTGACATCAAACAGAAACTAGTTGAATTCATTGATATCATCAAATTTCGATCGAAGATTTACTTGTGATTAATAGTTTTAATAATCATCCCTGACATGAAACCTTCATATACGTTTAACATATATGTGACGTCTGGATAAAGGTGGTCAACGGAACAAAAAAATTACTTTCAATAAAGACAAAAAATGTAACATAGGGAAGACTTTTTGACAAATTTATTATTAAGTTGTAAAATCGTATTCACATATAAAATGTGAAAATTGAATGAAATTAATGACGTAACGGGAAAGTTTTAATACTGGATCATATAATGTAGGTGCATGGATAGGTGGCTTTCTGGATATGGGCAGACAAATAATTGGTTGTGAAATTCATAACCTATCACTGGATTATAGTGTGAAAGGAATAAGATAATACAAATATCGTTGTTATAATTATTCTAATTTACAATTAATGAAATGAAAATAAAATAAAATAATAATAGGTTGAACCCTTATGAGACTTAAAATATGGCTATATTTTGTTTGTAATAAAAATACAGGCTTTATTTCAAAGGACAAACGAAGCTTCTGTTAGTTTGACGGACTGAAGAAGAGTTCTTAGTTGGTGTTGACAGATCCTATAAACATGTGAGTTAGCCTTGTAATTAAAATTAAGTGAATATTCGGGACTTAAACTTCTAACCAGTTTCTTTTCACCTTTGTAGAAACAAGGTAGGATATGTTCTTGTATGTGTTTTGAATAAGTCTATGTATTTTGCTCAATAAGAGCAAGGAAACTAGTAAATATACACAGAGGTGATCAAAAAGGGAAGGGTATCCTTAAAGACAAGGAAATTTTAATGCACATAAAGTTGTTACAAATAAAAATCGAAAAATTTAATTCTAAACAGTATTTCAATAATCAATTTTCTATAATTCTTCAGTTAAAAAATTGTACTTTAAATTACAAAATACGCCCAAACGATTAAAATCGTGAAAAATAACGAAAAAAACCACGATCAAAATAGGCAC